TAATAATAATAATAATAATAATAATAATAATAATAATAATAATAATAATAATACGTGGTCTTTGTTTTACTCTGCACAAATCACAACAAACAAATCAGGAAGAAAGAGCTTCATCACATACAAAGCCCATTATTATGCGTTTATGGTTTATTGAACCAAAATGAGCAAGACTTGCTGTGTTTCCAACTTGGCAACTTCAAGATATGTAGACTTCAGCTGCTAAGAGTTTCCCAGCCAGCCTGGATCATGGGAATTGAAGTCTAGAAACCTAAAAGTTGCCAAGTTTGAAAAACATTGGGATAGAATTATCAGTCAGCTTTTAATGAGAAGGTTGTTTTGGATTATTTTTTTGCCTTCAAGTGAATGTTGACTCCGAAGGCGAGTGCCTCTGGAGATTCTTGGCAGTTTTCTTGACAAGATTTCAGTAGTTAGTTTGCCATAACCTTTCTTTCCAAGGGCTGAGAGTGGGTGAGATGGTCACTCAGCTGACTTCATGCTTCAGCGGGACTGGAATTCCTGGTCTTCCAGACTCTTAACCGTTACATTAAAGTGGCTTAGTTTATGCAGTGTATTTAATGATTTTTATGGATTCAGCTGTTACACAAAAATATCCTTTCTTGCTTGTTTATCCTACAAAGTAAACAGAGTACGTGTACTGGTATACTATCCATTTAAACCCTGGCTAATTAAACCAGGATTCCTAGCTTCAAGTGGTGTATCCAGTGCAAGTATCGTCTCTTTCTGTTGAATATTTTATTTCTTATTTATGCAGATTTTGCTTTGCTTACCGAATCGGTTAAAACTGCATTATTTCATTAGCTGAGATTTCTAAAACTGAAGCATTCCTAACTATTGAACCCTAGTATCTATAACCAAGAAAAGTCAGACAGGCCCGTCCCAGAGAACCATTGCTGGTTAAGATAGACAGTTTGGTAGCCCTCAACCCTTTATCCCCAATCCTGCCTTGATGATTATGAGTAATCTCATTAGAAACAAAGGGTTTGCTCTGGAAATCAAAGCAGAGGCAGAATTTCCAAGGATGGGAAGATAGGGATATTTAGGGGTATTTAAGAGCTGCAGTGACGCAGTGGTTAGAATACAGTCTACTTCTGCTGCCTGCCGGCTGCCAGCTGTTTTCAGTTCGATTTTGACCAGACTCAACGTTGACTCAGCCTTCCATCCTTCTGAGGTGGGTAAAAGGAGGACTCAGATTGTTGGAATCAATATGCTGAATCTGTAAACCACTTAGAGAGAGCTGTAAATCACTATGAAACAGTATATAAGTCTACTGTCATGCCCTTGTTGGAGTCTGATTCTGAGGGGGAGATTGAGGAGTTGACAGGGAGTGGGAGTGTGGCTCCAGTGGCTGTGGAAGAAACGGGGGAAGAGCACAGTCCGGCTGGACATTCAGAGAAAGACCCAGGGCCATCCCCTCTTCATCCTAGGGCACGCAGGGAAGAACGGAGAAGGGAGCAATGTGTCTTACGGGAGAGGAAAAGGCCCTGATCCCTTTCATTTGTTGCAGCTGGGAGAACAGGATATAAGTGGGACATTTTAAATAGCTCTTTCCTGGAAGCTTCTCTTGGAAGCGTGCTTTATCTTGGTCGAGGCTTATCTGGGTTTTGGCATCTTCCCAATTGTGGTTGCTGTGGTTGCTGTGTTCTATCTTGTGGAAGTCTGCAATTTATCATCCTGGCCTGCCATGTTAATGACTCCACTGTGGTTTGTGTTGGTTTTTTTTTTCTAATTATTTTTAGTTTTGGTTTGGACTGCATTTACTCTCTTTGTAGACTGTTTTTGGAAGAGTTTGATATCCACTCGAGGATAATTGGACATTGGGGCCCAAGTTGGAGGCATTAAAGGGACTTTATTCTGCTTGTATGACTGTGTTATTTTTGTCACGCCCCGGGTCATCACATCTACTATTGCTATTAACTCATAATGCAAATTTTGCAGTAGGTTCATTGTCACATTTGATGTAGGGTCATTGCTGTAGGTTAATTCAAGCTCCTAATCAATTTGACTTATTCCTTTTGTTCTATTGTAAGTCTACCAATAATGTCAGCTGTAGAGTTGTGTGCATCGTTTCAGCCTTGGACTACCTCCAGGTTCCCTTTTTTCTGCCTTTAGGGTTCTGGACCTGCATCAGGACCTGTTCGCCCAGGTCACAGTTTCCTTCGGGATGGGGCCTCCCTGGGGATGCTCCGTGAGCTGATGGTCATGATCCGGATCTGGGGCCTCTTGAAGCCAAGCTGTCTTCCCATTTATACGGCCACGTCTGATACGCAGGACAGCATGTCCCTCCTCTTCCGGCTTCTTACCAAATTGTGGTTGTGCTGTGAGTAATCTGATGTGCTGCCAAATGAGGGAGAGAGGTGGCTTGAAGGCTTGGAGCACAAAGAAATGGTGTGTAGAACATGAGCCAGGTGCGACTCAGGAGCCATTTGAGCAGTTTGAGCTCAAAACAAACCATTTCCAAGCATGGGTTTTGATCCACGTTGTTTCAGTATTGGTGCCAACTCATAAAATATTTCTCTGGTCTTTTTAGAGTTGCCAACAGAAAGGGAGGGGGAAGCAGTGCAGCAGCTTGCAAAACTGAAACTGCATTCCACAAATGTTTTCAAAGATAGTAACTAGGTGACTGAAGTTTCTGCCACCCAGAATTCTAACTGGAGAGCATGATTGATGACTCTTGGCTATGGATGTGTCCCACTGGAGAATATGAATTACGATACACCCAGGGGGTGGGAGGAAAATCAGGGTCAAGGGTGACAGTGAATTATGTGTCTCAGCTAGCTGTCAGGATTCTGGCAGTTACCCCCATTTAAATCATGAATCTCGAGCCAAACTTTCAAAACTTAAAAAGGATTTATTGGTTTGTGAGAAAAGCCTACACACCCTTGTTTTTCACTGTAAGGTGATAAAGGAGGAGGTGAAATATGGGTAGGCCTCGACTTACAACAGTTCATTTAGTGACCATTTGAAGTTACAAGACACTGGAATAAGTGACTTAGGACCGTTTTTCACACTTAATGACTGTTGTAGCAGCCCCATGATCAAGTGATTTATGTTTGGATGTTTGACAACTGACTCACATTTCTGACAGTTGCAGTGTCCTGGAGTCATGTGATCACCTTTTGTGACAGGCAAAATCTATGGGGTAGCCAGATTCACTTAACAACTATGTTACTAACTTAACATCTGCAGTGATTCACTTCACTTCACTGTGGCAAGGAAGGTCCTAAAATGGGGCAAAATTCTCTCTTAGCAACAGAAATTTTGGGCTCAATTGTGGTCGTAAGTTGAGGACTACATATAGTCCAGTCTATGGCCCAAACTTGAGGGGGAAAAAATAGCCATTTCTTTTCTTTGAAATGAATTTTTTTTTAAACCATTCCCACAAAACAATGGAAGTAACAATGATACATGTTTTTGCTGCCAGTCCAGGGGTGGGATGCTACCAGTTCTGCCCGGTTCTAAAGAACTGGTAGCTGAAGAGCAGCAGACCCTGGACCGGTTCTGTGTTTGCTGCTGCTTGGCCCACCCGCCCACCCGGGCTCTTACCTGTCCTTTATTTCCTGCTTTTTCAACCTCAGCTGCTTTGCGCAGCACAGCTGAGGTTGAAAAAGCAGGAAAAAAAGAGGCTTTTCAAATGCTGTGCACCTGTGCGCAGCGCTTTTCAGCCGTCTGGGCGGCACAGCTCAAGGTTTTTTTACACGCGCGCACAGCAAAACGTAGTCACTGAACCAGTAGTAACACCAGTTGAATCCCACCCCTATGCCAGTCGGTCCATTTTTTTAAAAAAAAAAAAAAGTAGAAATCCTCTTCATAGTTTATCTAGAAATGATTCCCGGGTGAAAATAGATGTCTGTGATCCGATGTTTGTTGAAGTCCACACCTCTTAAAGTGGCCAAGGATGAAAAAAAACACTGATCCCAAAACCTTTTCCCTTGTGCAGGCCGTGACGAAGGGCATCCCAGCGAGCCGGACGATACCTTGATCGACGAATGTTGTCTCCTACCCAGCCAGCTCCTCATCCCAAACATGGATTGGCTTCCGGTGAACGATGCCATCATCAGCAAGCTGCAGAACAAGCAGCCAGTCCGGCTGCAGTTTGGAAAGCCTCCCGGGATCATTGGGCACTCCGCTTCAGTTCCGTGCGACGCGTTTACCAGGTGCATCGTGGGCAACCTGGTTTCTCTCTTGACACGACAGGGATGCTGGACGGATGGCCCTTTATGCGTTTTACTTTTGTTTAAGGCCTTCACTGCACTCACTGAAAGATCAGGTCTCTTTAATACAATCCCAAAGGTGCTTTTTCAAGCGGCATCTGGACTTTCTGGTTTTTCTTTGAAGACGTTTCGCTTCTCATCCAAGAAGCTTCTTCAGCTCTGACTGGATGGTGGGGAATGGAAGGATTTATACTCCTTGCGGACAGCTGGTCGTTTCCATTTTTTTTTTTAACCAGCTGCCTGAAAGGAGCATTAATCCATCCATTTTCCACCATCCAGTCAGAGCTGAAGAAGTTTCTTGGATGAGAAGTGAAATGTCTTCAAAGGAAAACCAGGCAGTCCAGTTGCCTCTTGAGAAAGCACCTTTGGGACAACCATGACCTGGATAATTGGGAATTTCCGTAGACTTTAATAATTCAAAGTTTTTCCAACTTGATCGCTTTAAGACATATGAACTTCAGCTCCCAGAATTCATCAGTCAGCATGGCTGGTTGGCAAATTCTGGGAGTTGAAGTCCACACATCTTAAAGTGACCAAGTTGGAAAAATACTGTTTTAATAGATCCAAGTTGGAAAAATACTGTTTTAATAGATCCAGTTGAAAAACAAGTTGAATGGAAAGAGACCCTGAAATACAAGTTCCTTGACTTGGTGATTTGGGTCAAATTAGCCTTGGTTGTAATCTTTCTACAGCTCATGTGATCAACTCCACATTTTGTTATTCCCAGGTGGCAGCAAATCACTGGTTTTAGAGCAGTGCTGTTCCTTGATTATTAAAAAAAAATAAGCACCAAAATTAGGTCTATTAACCCCCTTTGCAACCTTCACTAACCTAGTTGTGTTCATTTCTAAAAAGCTGTTGCCCTCTCCCTATCCTATATGGAACAAAAGGGGCAGGGGAATCAGTCTCTCCCTCTCTTGATGTGGCATTGTTGTGTTATCACCCTGAAAGGTTGTCTGTCCCCATGGCATTTGGCACTGTGCTATATAACAAGTGTTGTCTTCATTCCCAGGACTACGGGGTACCCAAAGATTGACCACCTGCGGCGGCTCCATCTTGGAGCTTATCCTACTGAAGAATGCAAGTCCTGTACAAGGTTAGCATCCCAGGCTGAGGGAAGGAAGAGTTCAGTCCCCCGAAAGATTATATTTTGAACCTAATCCCAAACTGACTAAAGATAAGCAGATGTAGGAGAAGAATAGGCAGAGCCGTGTGTGTGTGTGTGTGTGTGTGTGTAGTTTTATGGGAGTCATCAGCCTAGAATCCTTATGTTCCCACCAACGATCTAAGTCCAAGCTCTCTTGAATTCCATTGATTTTTGTCTAGTTCCAATTTACTGACTAGATTCTTGTCTATAGGGTTAAGCGATGCATCTTCACTGCAAATTAACTATGGTGCTGATTCTTGTTGCCTTACAGCAGAGAGAAATTGCAGCTGCAGGTCAAAGTTTGTAAAGGGTGAAAATGGGTTTCTACAGTCATGCAGAGAGTTGAGATAAAAGGCCTAATGATGGCTTCTCTCTTTATAAGTTTTGGAGGATATAAGCAGTTGTGGGATTCAAACCAGTTCAATCCCAGGGGTGGGATTCTACCAGTTCGCACCTATTCTCTAGAACCAGTTGTTAACATTCTAACCGGTTGTTAGAAGAAATTACTGGCCTAATCCTGTAAGGAAGGCAGGAAGGAAACATTCTGGTGTTGCTTACAGAAACTGCCTCTCCGTTAACCCTTATTACATTCTTGGCAGGACTAGACTTCCTTTCTCAGGAACTTCTCTGGAGTTTTTTCCCCCTCCTTTGCTGGTACTATGCTTGTGTGGAGTGACCCTTCAAAGTTACAATGGCACTGAAAAAGGTGACTTATGACCATTTTTCACACTTATGACTGTTGCAGCATCCCCACAGTCATGAGAGGCCAGGTGAGCAGATGCGTCCCTCGATGTGAGTGATATTGAGTTGGCCACACCCAGCCAATAACATGACCACCAAGTCATGTCCATCCAATCACATGACCACCAAGCCATGCCCACCACCTAAGCCACGCCCACAGAACCGGTTGTTAAAAAATTTGAATCCCACCCCTGGATTCAAATAATTTAACAACCAGTTCAGCCAGGGTCAGGTTGGCTGTCGTGAGGGGCGAGGCCCACCCCTGTCCTCCAGCTCTGCTGCATGTGTGGGACAAGCCTCCCACGAAGGCCAATCTGACCCTGGGCGAACCGGTTGTTAAATTAAACCCCGTTCCCCGCTATCAAAGTGGATTCCAGGCGCTGTGCTGCAATGGAAAAATGGACAACAGAGCGGCCAGCACGAAGGAAGAAGGAGGAGCAGGGAGAAGAAAGGGAAAGCGGCCTCCTTCCTTTGTGCCGGCTACCCTGTTGCCCATTTCTCCATTGCAGCACAGCTTTGATAGTGTGTGGGTGTGGGTGTGGGCGTGTGTAATTTAACAATTGGTTCTCTTGAACCAGTGCAAATCGGTTGAATCCCACCACTGGATAAACTTCTTCTTCTTCTTTTTCTTCAGCGTTTGTCTCGCGCTCTGGCGAGGTCCGCTAATGTCCTTGAGTTTATCCACCACTGGATAAACCTGGTATAAAATACAGGTAGTCCTCACTCTATGACCAAAGGAGTCCAAGATTTCCATTACTAAGCAAGCAAGTGGCTTGTGCTCCATTTTATGACCTTTTTGCCAAGGTTATTGACTGAATCTGACTTTTCCCATTAACTTTGCTTATCAGAAGCCAGCTGGGAAGGTTAGAAATGGCGACCGCATGACCCCGAGACAATGCAGCCATTGTAAATACATGCCAGTTGCCAAGCGCCTGAATTTTGATCACGTGATCACAGGGATGGTCACGTGACCTGATAGTCCTTCCTCCTCCCATTTTCCCCGCAACAACAAACCTGTGAGGTAGGTTGGGCTGAGACAGAAAGATGACCCAAAGTCACCCAGGTTCATACAGGAAACCCTGTAAAAAAAAATATTAGAACGTTTTTTTTAGGAGACCATTTTTTTTGCTCCACACCTTCTGGAGAAGTTTCTCAGCTGGGTGCCATTTTGTCCCCTGTTTAGGTGCGGCTGTGTTACAATGCTCCGTTCCCCCAATAAGACCACGGCTGTGAAACAGTGGGAGCAGCGATGGATCAAGAATTGCCTTTGTGGTGGTCTTTGGAGAAGAATGCCCCTCAGCTATTCATGATGGATGCCAGGGCTCTTTGCCTTACCCAGATGGGATTTGTGAGGAGTTTTGCAGCTTACTCCAGAAACTCCATTCAAAAAAAAAACATCCTGGAGGAAAAAAAAAAACCCAACATAAGATACAACTTCCAGAAAGAGTTGCAGGTGGACTTTCTTGGGCCAAAGCACCAAGAGAAATCAATGGGAGGCGCTGGAGGAATTTGAATTGATTGGCACTTCTGGTAGCAAATGGAATTTGGCCAGTGCCAAAGTTGCATTGATATCCCTAAATTGCACCTCAGTTTCTCCTCTTATTAAAAATGGCAGCTTTTAGTTCAACATTCAGGAAGGGTTAAAATGCTGCATTTAAAAAATGAAGCATATTTTAGCATTGTTCAATTTGCAGAAAAGTAGACAATTATAGGAAAGAGAAGAGCTTTTCTTGGTATATGAATTTGCTTCACGCAGAAAATTGGGGGGAGAAGGTTTGGGGAGACAGTCTAACTATGAACATTCTCCCCTATTTTTCTTTCCATTTGCTCAAAACTCCCTGTGTCTAGAACAGAGGTCTCCAAACTTGGCAACTTTAAGACTTGTGGACTTCAACTCCCAGAATTCTCCAGCCAGCTATGCTATGTCATACTGGCTGGAGAATTCTGGGAGTTGAAGTCCACAAGTCTTAAAGTTGCCAAATTTGGGGACCCCTGGTCTAGAAACTCATGTGTTGGGAAACTGAGGTTAAACTATTCCAGTCCTTCTCTACTTCTGCCTGCGGTCTGAAATAATCCAGCCTAAAATTCTTCCATTTGCGGAAGAGTTGGTTCTTCTCTCACATACAGCCGATATGCCTGCTTTTGAACTTCTAGCTCTACATAATTCAAAGACTATTTCTTTGAAAAGTATGTGATGATATAAGGATTTGAAAACCACAACTTGGATCTTATCCTTTTTAAAAATTTCCTGGGCTACGAGACTCCAGACTCCACAGATCCTTCTGTTAAAATCTAGGGAGGGAAAGGAGTCCCCTGCATAGGAGTTGCAATTTTTTTTTTTGCAATTTTTTTTAGTCTCTGACAAATAAGCGGGTGCCTTTCTTTGTGCCCAATAATTCTGTGTTTTCTCAGAAAGTGGTGACAGCAAAGAAGATAAAAACATTCATGGATAAGCAATGGTTTTGTTCATATTGTAACAGGATCTAGTTTGTACAGATTATAATTATACAGTTTTGTATGCTTTGTAAATTGAGAACTTTTTTTATTCTTTGTTTTTCCTCATGAAGTACTTCCCTCTCTCTCTGAACTTTTAAAGCAACCCCCCCCTTAAAAGGAACACCCTCCCTCCCTCCCTCTCAAATACAGCTTGGAACAGTTTTTAAGTTCCTTCTGTTTTGAAGTTCGCTTTGCCATTTTATTTGCAGGAAACAATGATGGGAGGAAATGGTGGAAGAGAGGTGAAAGCAGTTGGAAGTTATCCAGGACCAGCAATTCTTGATTTTTGTGTTTGTAGTGATCAGCCAGTTAATACAGGTAGTCCTTGACTTAGAAGAGCTGTGGTGACGCAGTGGTTAGAGTGCAGTACTGCAGGCTACTTCTGCTGATTGCCAGCTGCCTGCAATTTGGCAGTTCAAATCCCACCAGGCTCAAGATTGACTCATCCTTCCATCCTTCTGAAGTGGGTAAAATGAGGACCCAGATTGTTGTGGGCAATTATGCTGACTCTGTAAACTGTTTAGAGAGGGCTGTAAAACATTGTAAAGTGGTATTTATATCTAAGTGCTATTGCTATTGCTACAACCCTTCGTTTAATGGCCTTTGGAAGTTTCAGTGGCACTGAATAAAGTGTCTTACAACAGTCCTCACACTTAAGACCCTGGCAGTATCTCCATGGTCATGTGATCAAAATTCAGGCGCTTGGCAACCAGCATGTTTTTAGAATGGTTGCAGCATCCCAGGGTCATGTGATTGCCTTTTGCGACCTTCCCAGTTGGCTTCCAACAAGCAAAGTCAGTGGGGAAAGCTGGATTCGCTTAACAACGGTGTGATTCATTTAGCAACTGTAATGATTCTCTTAACAACCATGGCAAAAAAAAAAGGGTTGTAAAATCAGGCATGACTCACTTAACGATGGTTTTGCTTAGCAATGAAAATTGTGGTCCCAAGTGTAGTCATAAGTCAAAGGCTACCTGTAATACTGAAATTAGAAAAACCAGAGTAGATTTATGGAACCTGACTTTATGTCGTTTAGCTGCGTCCATTGGAGTCTCCCATCTATGGAGAGAATTGTCTTCCTGCAATGCAGAAATTTGCTGTAAAATAGCAAGATAAAATTCTAGCTTGACATATTCCTTTTGTATTAGCAAGGAAAGTGTTTGTTGTAAAGAAAAACATTTAAATGTGGGACACAGAGAGTGCTGGATGTATAAATAAGAGACTTCATTGTTTTTCAATGTCTACAATATCTACAATACATCTAATTCTTTCTCTTTAATTTCTGAGTTTAATTGCGGTTTCAGAATGATGGTTCCATGTAAGTCAATTTTTTAAAGTTTTTGATGGACTCTGAATTCTTTCAGGCGGCATTTGCACAAACCATGAAGCTCTTTTTTTATATACGGTTTGTGAGTCAGTGTTATCAGTAAACACATTATCTCTTTTTACTCCTGTGCAAAATCTCTGTCAGCTCAAGTGCACTTCAAAACCACTGCTTCGAAGGACTGAAGAGCTTTTATCGGAAAAATTAATAATTAAAAGGAAGAAAATACGTGTTTGTCAAAGCCACTCCAAACTTCAATTAAGTGCTCATGGCAAGGAAAGAAACATTGCTTCTTCAAATTATTGATAATTGTTATTTTGAGCAAAAAAATCAGAATAGGCTTAAGTAAAAATATCTGTAAACATTCATGAAGTGGAAATCTCAAATGTGAATCTCGCATTAGGCAAAGTTCTTACCCTTTATTTTTATGCCTGGAACTCATGCCAACTGTAGGACACCCATTTTCTTGCATCTAAATCAAATCCCAGCTGCTTCATCCAAGTTCCTAGTCCTCAACCTCAGTCAAAGTGCATATATTTTATATTAACACCGTCAGTAATGTGTCTGTATTGTGTCTTACGATCAAAATTGTACAAACCACAGTTTTCCTTGTGACACTTCACAGACATGATAGTTGGACTTTGAAGAAGCAGGGTAGGAAGATTATTGACATTTTTGAACTGTGACGTTGGAGAAGACGCCTGGGAATACAGTAGACAGCTAAGGAATGAACAAATGGACCTTCAAATGTCTGACTAGAGAGAGAAGTCACTATACTTCAAACCAGAGGTGGTATTCAGCAGGTTCTGACCATTTCTGGAGAACCAGTAGCGGAAATTTTGAGTAGTTCGGAGAACCAGAAAATACCACCTCTGACTAGCCCCGCCCCCATCTCTTCTCTGCCTCCCGAGTCCCAGTAGATCAACCCGGTCTTCTTTGGTTGCCCTGCACAGGAGAACGGAGCTGGAAAGCAGGTTAGTGGGGTGAGGAGGGAATGTGGATTTTGCAGTAACCTTTCCCCAGGAGTGGGGAGGGAATGGGGATTTTATCCTTCCCGTCACGCCCACCAAGCGATGCCCACAGAACTGGCAGTAAAAAAAAATTTGAATCCCACCACTGCTTCAAACACATTGTATCAAGGTGTATGTGTGCTTGTGTGTGCGCGTGTATCTTCAGCATTGATTCCTGGTTCCTGCAGTTCAAACAAATGGTTATCCAACATCTTTTTAAAAACTTCCAGTGTCGGAGCATTCACAACTTCTGGAGGCAAGTTGTTCCACTGATTAATTGTTCTCACTGTCAGGAAATGTCTCCTTAGTTCTAGGTTGCTTCTCTCCTTGATTAGTTTCCACCCACTGCTTCTTGGCCTGCCCTTGGGTGCTTTGGAGAATAGCTTGACTCCCTCTTCTCTGGGGCAGCCCCTCAAATATTGAAACACTGCTTCCATGTCACTCCTAGTCTTTCTTTTCATCAAACTACACATACCCAATTCCAGCAACCGTTCTTCGTATCTTTTATCCTCCAGTCCTCTAATCATCTTTGTTGCTCTTCTCTGCACTCTTTCTAGAGTCTCAACATCTTTTTTTACATCATGTCGACCACAACTGGATGCTGTATGCCAAGTGTGGCCTTAGCAAGGCATTATAATGTGGTATTAACACTTCATGTGATCTTGATTCTATCCGGAGGTGGTATTCAGCAGATTCTGACCAGTTCTGGAGAACCGGTAGCAGAAATTTTGAGTCGTTTGGAGAACCGGCAAATCCCACCTCTGACTGGGGATTTTACAGTATCCTTCCCCTGCCACGCCCACCAAGCCACGCCCAAAAAAAATGGTAGTAAAAAAAAATTGAATCCCACCACTGATTCTATCCCTCTGTTTAAAACAGCCTAGGACCGTATTGGCTTTTTGGGCAGCTGCAGTATACTGCTGGCTCATATTTAAGTGATGGTCCACCAGTTTTTCATGTGTTGTTTGACATTGCCTGCTTCTTAGGTCTGAGGGAGAGTGACTGGCCCAAGATCACACGCAAGGTGTCAGTTTCTAGCCTAAAATCTTAATTACTACATCAAACTAGCTCTCATACAAAGAACTGGTTTTCTTTTTTCTTTTAAAAAGGCGCTAATGCCTGAAAGGGTGGAAGTAAAGAAGCGGATGGCCACCAAGAAGGGGAACAGACTCAGTTATAAGGGTGATAGGAACAACCTGAAAAACTAGGTTAGAAGCGGATCATTATGGAGAAAATCTGTCAATGTGATCTGTAGGAGTCAATCAATTCACACCTGTGAATTGGTCTTAGGAGTCAATCAGTTCACACATACACAGACAAAACCTGCCAGAAATAACACTAAAAAAGGGTCACATCTTAATTAAAAATCGAATTAATGGCCTGTAAAGTATTCTAATTCGTAAAAATAGTAACTCGTCTGATATTTTATTCCACCAACCATTCTATTTCATTCACACAAACCAATCTCTAACACACATACACACCGACAAACACAATCTTCCATCCCTCCCTTCCTTCCAAGAGGACAAGCATAAAAAGGGGGGAAGTACCAGAATGGTTAAAGAGATAATTTTGCATAGTACGTATTTCTTAAAATTGTGCATTTAGACTCTTTCCTAACCCTGCATAAGCGCACCAGTCGTGCCTACCGTCCCTGTCCTATTGTTTTTTATTTTTCTTATAAGTATCCATCTCATGTATTCAAAACTATATTTATTCTTATACCTGTATCTTGTAAGCGATTGACAAATCAAATAAAATGTAAATGTAAAAATTCCTTTTTCATGTTCCTTATTGTAATGTTTTGGAGAACACTGCATTTTAATAATACCTAATTTCCAATTTGGTATTTGATTGGAACCTTAAGTAAATTTACATCTGAAAAATAAGCTAAATGAATTTCATTACCATTTCCAGTTGTAAATCAGACCAGCAACCAACCTGGGCTGGAACTCTGGCAAAAGTCCCGGTTTTAGAGGAAAGAGAAACCTCTTCTACATTTTTATTATAAAGCAATTTTCTTTTGAGATAGTAGGTATATATGAAGAAGAGTTTTGGATTCCAGAATGCTTGGGCACCCTCTAGTGGAAAATAGAAGTAATTGCTTACCTCTAGGAAACTGCTACATATGGTAATCCTGCTTGACAAACTGGGGGAGCCACATGTTACCCTCCGTGCCCGGTTTTGACTGCGGGCTGGTCCTTTGCTATTTTCAGGCTGGCCCCGCAGGCCTAATTTAGGTACCCCTGCCTTATACCATCCCAGTCAAATAGTTGTCCTGTCTATTTTTGTAAACCTCGAGCAATGGAGCATCCTCAAGTCCCAGAGTCATTAAACAGTTGAAAGTCAAGGACCACCTGAAATTTAAAGCAACAGGTATTCAGTTTCCTAAAACACATCTAGTTTTGGACCAATTTCTCCACCACTTGTAACAGTATTTCTCAGCATGGCTGGCTGGGGAATTGTAGGAGTTGAAGACCACAGATCTTAAAAGTTGCTAAGATTGAGAAACACTAATACAAGATATGAATTAGAATCATTCCGATTTTAAGATGGCAAATTTAAGATATGTGGGCTTCAACCAGTGGTGGACTCAATTTTTTTTACTACTGATTCTGTGGCTATGGCTTGGTGGGTGTGGCAGGGGAAGGATACTGTAAAATCCCCATTCCCTCCCTACTCCTGGGGGAAGGATACTGCAAAATCCCCTTCCCTCCCCACCCCACTAACCTGCTTTCCAGCTCCATTCTCCTGTGCAGGGCAACCAAAGAAAATCCAGCCAATCAGCTGGGACTCGGGAGGCAGAGAATCAATGGGGGTGGAGCCAGTCAGAGCTGGTATTTGTTGGTTCTCTGAACTACTCAAAATTTCTGCTACCAGTACTCCAGAACTGGTCAGAACCTGCTGAATACCACCTCTGGCTTCAACTCCCAGAATTGCCCAACCAGTGTGATTTACTTTCGTATGATTTGCATTGATTGGCAGGAATTCTCCAGGGTTTTCTGCCCTGGTCCACTTTGAAGCCATCAGGAATTACATTCAGAACTCAGAGGCTGGTAAATCTATCACACAAAACCGTGTTTTGAAATTAGCCAACCACTCAAATAAGAGATTGGGAAGAGGGATATATCATGAGGAGCGGGATTCCAGTCTCTTTCAGTCTTAAATAATGACAAAAGCAGCCTCCATCTGCGTTCCATTTATTTATTTATTTATTTATTTATTTATTTATTTCATGCTGACAATAATTCTTGGTAAGCATTGCTGGTTGGCGTACAGGTGCCCCTTGATGAAAAGAAAAGAAAAAAAGCAGAGCCCCCCCCCCTCCATAAGAGAAAGAGGTTCCTTTCTGAACCTCTTGGGAGAACAGAATAACAGAATTGGAAGAGACCTTAGAGATCTTCTAGTCCAACCACCTACTCAGGTAGGAAACCTTACATCATTTTAGACACATGGTTGTCCAATCTCATCCCCTTTTGCACCTTGAAGCCTCAGCATTGAGAGCTACCAAGCAATCCCTCTAAGGACTTGTGGTGGACTCTATGGTGGACTCTATGGTGCTGTTGATCCATGAGACGTAGGGAGCGGTCCGGGTGTAAATCCCAGGTTTCCGCCAATTGCCACAAACAGTGGATCCGGTGGTCACGATGCCTTCAGCAGTGCCGTTGCAAACGATAGGTCCACCGGAATCTCCCTGAGAAGCAAATCAGAGTCAGTCCCAGTTTTAATATTACTATTATTAGTAATACCTTGCTTCAAATCTCACTGTCCATGAGATCTTCCATCTATTCCTATCACTGACCTACTTTGTAAAGATGTGGTAGAGAAAATATTTGCCAAATATTTTGAACCTATGTGCAGTGTGTATTCCTGGTTGTCCAATTTTGTTTCCCTGCGTCCTTTTTTTTTTTTAAGAAAAACCCTCCATTTGATTTTTGGAATGCTTTTTTTTACTATTAACATTGCTGAAAATTTGCAGCAAGAAAGCATTTCCTTTTCTTCTTGTATTTTAAATTTTCTTTTTCAACTGTATTGCTGATAATTTCCCATAAGTCTTAACCTTCAAGAAAAAGCCTCTTTCAGAAACCAGGACTGGCAGGAGAGCATTCAATAGATTGTAGATAACAGTTTTGTTTTTAATCGTTCTCAAGCTTCCATGAATAAAGAAAATAGTCAAGCCAACCTTGGGAATTACTGAGAAAGTATCTTACCCAAACCCATTTTGATGTTTTTACTTTGCAAATGTTTCTTTTGCTTTTATTCAGAACACAATGCTCTTTTCTATGGCTATGCATGCATATTATTGGATGCTGTAACTCTTTTGATGTAATTGGGCAGATGACTATTTCTAAACCAATCAACTTTTGCTTTGAAGTTCTTTGTTGTGCAAACAAAAGTAAATGTAATCCATTTCCCAGGATTCCCCCTTTTCATATGGAAACCGCACTTTATCATAGTACTCTAATAAATTGCTTTTAAATAACCTTCCAACTTGGTTGCTTATTGGAAAAAGTAACCCGAGGCAGAACCTGGGGCCAGATTTGGCCATCAGCATCTTTCCAACCTTTTTTTCTTTCTTCTTCTGTACATATTATTATTATTATTTATTAATTATTATCTCTTTTATTCATTAAACTTGAAACTCAGTCAACTGAACTTTTAAAGATGTATCACAAATATGACTGACTGGGGCCAATGGTTGATACGAGTTGCTGCCAGCATCCTAGGTATCAACCGAGTATCTTCTTAAGATGTACGATGAAGGTATTCAAAGGCAAGAGAGGAAGTACATAGGAATTAAAAATAACTTTATCTCCATCATATTATTCTGCAACTCCTACTTACAACAACACCCTCCATTTGGGGATCATGATTATTCGCCCTCTACTGTCCTGGGAAGCTGCTTAGAGTTATTTTAGTTATTGGGTTAGTATACAATGGATAAGTAAATAAAGTGGATAGATAGATGAGAGACAGAGAGAAAAAGAGAAGGAGATGAAAAAGAGAGAGAGAGAGAGATGCAGATAGACACATAGAATCACACAGAATAATAGGGCTGGAAGGGACCTGGGAGGTCTTCTAATCCAACCTCCTGCTCAGGAAAACCCTATAGCCATGATGGTGAACCTGTGGCATGCGTGCTGGCACGCAAGCTGCAGGCAAACTTACCTCACTGTGCATGCGCGCGCCTCATAGCTGATTTATTTCCGGTTGGTTTGAGACTTTTTTCGGCCTCCCAGAGGCTTGGAAAAAGCCTCTGCAAGGCTTTTCAGGACGAATTATAGGCCCATTTTGTCACTTCCGGTATTACAGGAAGTGACAAAACAGGCCTATAATTCGTCCTGAAAAGCCTTGCAGAGGCTTTTTCCAAGCCTCTGGGAGGCCGAAAAAGGCTTCAAACCAGCCGAAAAACCAGCTGTGAGGTGCGGTGCAGGTAAGGGGGTGGAGAGAGGGGAGATTGCACACGCAAGTGCAGGGGGCATGGGTATGGAGCGCGCATTGTATTCTGGGTGCTGGCACATGAGTGCGTGCGTGCTAGTGCACGTGCAATTTTTCACACCTGAGCCCAAAAGGGTTAGCCACCACTGCCCTATAGCATTCTGGACAAATGGCTGTCCAATCTGTTCTTGAAAATCTCCAGTGTTGGAACACCAACAACTTCCAGAGGTAAGCTGTTCCACTGATTAATTGTCCTCAATGTCAGGAAATTTCTTCTTGTAGATATATGATAAATGATGGAAGATGGATGGATGGATGGATGGATGGATGGATGGATGGATAGATATAGATAGATAGATAGATAGATAGATAGATAGATAGATAGATAGATAGATAGATAATAGATAGATAGATAGATAGATAGATAGATAGATAGATATAGATAGATGATAGATAGATGATAGATAGATATATATTAATAGGGACATAGAAAAAAATAGCAGGATAGCCACAGAAACATAAAGTATGGCTGAATATATTATGAGCAACCTGTGGGTGGTGAGTGAGATCTGGCAGGCCTGCTACCTGTAATAGAGCATTCATGTTCAAAGGCAGTCTATCCTGAACAAGTTTCAATTCAAATAACCAGGTGTGAGAAGCCATGGGAAGAAAGCAGGGGATGAAGAACAAGCTTTGTGTGAGAAAAGGCTGCGGAGTTTAGGCCAATGGGAAGCCTTAATTAACTCACTGAAACTTTGGCTGAGAATGCACTCTCACAGTTTCCTAGATTCTGCTTTACCCCAGACTAGCATGGCAAAGAAGTCCTCCTTCTCCCCCCCCCTCCTCCCACCAGCCCTATAATCACCTTGCAGGAATCTTTCTTTTTGGATTCAGCGCACATCATGTTCTCTGTCACGCTGCCGTCATGGTATCGCCTCATATTGCATTGATTTCGATCGATGATGCTGAGCTGAACGAACTGCAGCTTGTCTGGTTTCTTTCCCGTATTGCTAATAATGCCCCAGCCGGCCACTTCACACCGAGTATGTTCAGGGACATCATTGTTTACAGTCTGATATGGCAGGATCCGCACATGTGACCCAAGAACCGCGGGCTCTGCAAGCTAATTTTGAGAGAACCAGAGATGAAGGAAGCAAACTGCATCCAGGTCCAGGATATCAATTCCTTCAGATTAACAGAATTGGAAGGGACCTCGTAGGTCATTTAGTGCAACCCCCTGCCCAAGCAGGAGACTCTACACCAGTGGTTCCCAAACTTTTTCAGTCCACCGCCCCCTTTGTGCTACAAACTCATCCTCGGTGCCCCCCACCCAGGGGTGGGATTTAAATTTCTGTGGGTGTGGCCTAATTTGAGGGTGTGGCTTGCTGGTCACATGACTGGGTGGGCGTGGCTTGCTGGCGGCATGGCTTGCTGGTCACATGACCGGATAGGTGTGGTTTGGTGGTCATGTGACTGGGTGGGCGTGGCCAGGTGACTGGTAAACCAAATACAAGTGGTCCTCACTTAATGGCCGGTTGTTTAGCAAGTGTTCTAATTTATGACTGGCCTCCCCAGAGCTACTTGACCTGTTTTTGGAGTTTTGACAGCCATGCACATACACACACACACACACACACTCCCTTCTAATCCCGCTGGAGCAGGTCATCGGACTAGAATCAGCAAAGCATCTCTGATTAGATTCTAGTAGTGAATAAAATCTAATCATAGATGCTTTGCCGATTCTTGCTGATTTGTTTTATTTATATTTCTTTATTTTATGTTGCTGAATTGGATTGACATGTGTGTCCCTTCTTGTGCACAACCCAGAAGCTTTTGTGATTCTTTGCAGCAAAAATTACCGACCTCTGGCTTTGCTTGACTTTTCAAACGTGCCACCACTGCCACGTTTTAGGTGCCAGCCCCGCAGGTCCACCCCATTGAGCCCACTGCACCGGAGGGACTTGCCCAAGCAAGTCCGAGCGAAGCAGTGCACCAAGTCAATGGGGTGAGCCTGAGAGAGGGAAAGAGAAAGAGAGAAAAGAAAGAGAGAGAGAGAAGGAAGAAAAGAAAGAGAAAAGGGAAAGAAAGAAAAAGGGACAGATGAAGAAAGAGGGGGGGATGGAAGGAAGGGACAGAAAGTAAAAGAAATAAAGAAGGAGGGAGGGAGGGAGGAGAAAGATAATGAGATATCTATTCTAGTCCAATCACCTGCTCCAGCAGGGTTAGAAGGGTGTGTGTGTGTGTGTGTGTTCTCCTTGTAATTTACCAGTACATTTTGGTTTTGCCTTCTTCAGAATTGGCACTTTAAAACATTGGGGAAAAGTAATTTTTTAGGGTGGAGATCTGGTCCAATGGATCCTGTTTAAAGCTTCAACAAAATGTGAGATCTTCCTGATAGTCTTGGCCATGTTTCGTCCACAAAACCTTTAATAGAAGCCAAAGATGTTTCAATGTGCCGGCAAAGATTTTTCAGTGTGGAAAAGGGCCTCAGACTAAACTAGGCCTCATTTCAAGCTGATGCATCAGGTCTCTCTCTCTCTCTCTCTCCCCCTCCCCCTCCCTCCCTCCCTCCCAGACTGGCTTTGCTATACTTTCCCAATGTGCCTGCGGGCTGGTGCTTCGAACATGGATGGATGGATAGAGAGACAGAGAGAGACAGGTGGATAGGTAGGTAGGTAGATAGATAGATATTGGTAGATAGATGGGTAGGTAGGTAGACAGAAAAACAGACAGGCAGGCAGGTAGGTAGGCAGGCAGGAAGGCAGGCAGGCAGACCTTTTGGATGGATGGATGGACAGACAGACAGAATGCGACAGTGGCGGCACTTTGGGAAAGTAAAGCAAAGCCGCTGTCACCACATTCAAGACGCCGGCTCTGGAGCGGTGCAACAGTCAATGGGGTGAGCCTGCAGTGCCGGCACCTTGAATGCCCCCCTGCCGCCTTTTAGCACCCCTCTGCCAGCCCCCTTGGGGGCGCTAAGAGGCGGCAGGGAGGCATTCGAGGCGCCGGCACTGCAGGCTCACCCCATTGCCTGTTGCACCGGAGAGGTGCAAGGGGCTCAGTGGGGTGAGGCTGTGGAGCCGGCGCGTTGAACACAGTGGCGGCACATTGCAAAAGTAGAGCAAAGCTGCCTGCCCTGGGCTTCCTCAACCCTGCCCTGCTCTGGGAAGGAGGGAACAGCACCGCCCTCTATGACATGAGTGCCTCGAGATGGGGGGGCAGCTTGAGAGGCAGGAGGGGCACCCTGTGAACTTGCTGTCAGGCACGGCAACTACAAAGAGGGGCGGGCTTGGCTGAGCAGGATCCTGGAGATTGGCCATGTGATCAAAGGCCCCCTTCCTCTGCCTCCCCCTAGGTCAGGGGTCTGCAACCCTAAACACTCAAAGTGCCATTTGGACCTGTTTCCCACAGAAAACAAAGCACCGGGAGCCCCAAGACATGGGTGGGCGTGGCAACTCAATGTCACTCCCACTGAGTCGCATGAACACGCCCCCCCAGGTTTTGTGGTTTTCTGTGTTTTCTATGGGGAACATGTTGCTCTCTCTCTCCTCCCTCCCTCCCTCTCCCATCTCTATCTCCCTCTCCCTCCTTTCTGTCCTTCTCATCTCTCTTTCTTTCTTTCTCCCTCCCTCCTCTAACTCTCTCTCTTTCTCTCTCTCTATGCCTCTTCCTCCCTCCTTCTCCCCCACTCCCCACCCCCCTTTCCCAACTCCCACACCCAGGGAATAACTGTAAGGAAATTTGGCCACGTTCTTTCTGTCTCTGGAAAGATACACAAATCAACCTTGCATTCCAAAAGGAGTGAAAGTCAGGCTGTTACCTCACAGCGCTACGAGGTTGCTGCCTTAGATCGCTGCTGAATCCTTGCAAAACTGGGCAAAGACAGAGAGAGCCGGGACCCTCCCCCGCTCTATGCATCTCTCTCTCTCTCTCTCTCTCTCTCTCTCGGAAAGCCCTGCGTGCTCTCCTTGGGGCTCTTCGCTGTCCCCTTTTCTTCCTTCCTTTTGGAAATCTGGGCTGGCTGAAGAACAAGAGGAGGAGGAGGAGGAGGAGGGAAGCCTCCACTGCGGCTTCCGCTCGTTCCTCAGCTAGCCCGGATTTCCAAAAGGAAGGAAGAAAAAAAGGATCGCGAAGAGCCCCAAGGAGAGCACGCAGGACTTTCCGAGAGCGTGAGAAAGCTTCTTTTCTTTCTTCTTGGCGAGTTTTTGGAAATCCAGGTGGGCTGAGGAACGAGGGCAAGCCGTGGCGGGGACTTCCTTCCTCTCCCTCTCCTCTCCTTCTCCTCTCGGGCGCACCACCGCAGCCGGCTCCAGGGCTGTTCGCTGCTCTTGCAGCACCTGTGCAGCACACTCACATTTAGTGCACTTTACTCCTTCCCCTCCTCCTCCTCCTGGAGCCCATTACAATGCGGTGCATCGGAGCTGCCGTATTCGAGGCGCCGGCTCCGGAGCGGTGCGACAGTCAAATGGGGTGACCCTGCAGGGCCTCGAACGCCCCCCCTGCCACCTCTTAGCGCCCCCCTGCCAGCCCCCTTGCCTCTTAGCGCCC